TATGCAATTTGGAATCCAAGATTTTCTTAACTTCATAATTGGTTTCTCCTTGCACTACCATTGGTTTAGGCGCTGGGCAATCCTGTGGTCTCTGTCTCGAACTAACAGCTGGCTTCAACAAGCTGCTGTGGAAGACTGGATGCACTTTCCCTAATAGACGTGGGAGGCTAAGTTGAACTATTACTGGGTTAATCACTTTCACTATTGGAAACCGCCCTAAGAACAGGTCCTAGCTTTTTGCTGGGCAATTTCAATTTAATGTATTTGGTGGACAGGTAAACTTGATCTCCCACGTGAAAGGGGGGTTGAAGAGATTGACGTTTATCTGCTTGTTTTTGTATGCTTCTGCTGCCTCTGCTAGCGCTTTCTTGGTGTTTTCCCATCCCCTCTTGAGCGACTCCATTCATTTGGCTAGTCATGGAGGAGGGCAGCTCTCTTGGCAGCTCAGGCATGGGAACGAATTCCATGCCGCTTGTGACCTGAAAGGAAGTTAGTCCGGTGCTGCTATGCACTGCGTTGTTGTAAGCCACTTCTGCAAAAGGTAGCAGATCTGCCCAATTTTCTTGTTGGTAATCCAGATAGCATTTTATGTACTGCTCTACCATGGCGTTCGTACGTTCGATGGCTCCGTTCATACTCGGATGAAAAGCAGAGCTAAGTCCTTGAGTCGACCCAATGGAGTTCAGAAATTATCTCCAGAACTTAGAGGTGAACTGAACGCCTCTGTCTGAGATTACCCGGTGGGGCACTCTGTGCAGCCAGTAGATTTGCTTAATGAACATCTTAGCCAGTTTCTTGGCCGAGGGCAATCCAGAGCAGGCAGTAAAGTGGGCTTGTTTAGAGAATAAGTCAATCACAGTCCAGATGACTTATGTTTCCCCCACTCTCTTGGAGCTCAACTATAAAGTCCATAGCGATCTCTTCCCAGGGCCGGCTGGGGACACCTGGTCTTGCAGTTTCTGGTGCACATGCAGTTTTCAATTGCCGACACTATGTCCTGATCAGTTTGGTACTGGTCCCCGTAGCGGTCAATGTGGGATCAAATCCTGTTCAGGAAATAGGCCAGCTTCCCCGGGGTTCCGTTGAACATCGCTCTGAACCGGGGGGGGGGCCTGGCAGTGCAGGCTGTGGGGCCAATACAGGTTGGGGGATCGGGGCTGGCATCCACTGATACTGCACCCACCCTGGCCAGGGTAGAAGGCCCAACCAGGGGGGATTTGGTCAGTGGGAGGCAGTCTGATGGCCGGCTGGCGAGGGGTGTATGTTGGGTCTTGGCAGCCCCAATGGTTCTCCCTGCAATCCCGGGTTGGATTGGCCTAGCAGCTCTTGCTGCTGCGCAGTGCCGACTCCTGCAGGAGGTGTCATCCCAGTAGACCGGGTCTGACGAGGGAGGCTAAGGCGTGATCTGCTTTGCACAGAGTGAAATGAAGCTGACGCTCCACTCTGGATGATTACAACTCCTGGGCCTGGGAAGATGAATGTGGGTTGAGCCAAGACCTAGCTGGGCTGACTGCTTGGGGGGAGGCTGGGTGATGCTGACCATGCTGAGTTGGTCAAACCGCTCCAGAAGACTCGCTAGTGACTGGCTCTGTGACGGCAGCAGGAAACCCCATTCTCTGAAATCGCTGGCCTCAGGTCTCGTCACTCTCCATTTGAAGGCCTGTGTGCACTCTGCTCTGCCCGTTGAATTTCGAGGCTCCTGAAGTGTTGCCCCGACTGCCAATTCCTGAGGTGGCGCAGCTCCCGCGGCTTCAGCCCATAGGGAAGGATCCAACTGAGTGATCTATCAGGGAGCCTGCTCTTTCGGCTGGGCGCCTCGCCGGCATTCAGCCTCTATGGCCTCCACTGCTGCCACTATGCTCTCCGAAGGGGAGTAGATGGGCTCGAGGACGACCTCTGAACTAGTCCCTGTAGCTCCAGAATTGTGAATACTTCACCGCTGGACGTTTTTAAGAAGAGATTGGACAACCATTTGTCTGAAATGGTATAGGGTTTCCTGTCTGAGCAGGTGGTTGGACTAGAAGACTTCCAAAGTCTCTCTCAAGTGTTATTCTGTTCTGTTCTATTCTATTCAAAACATACTAAAAAAATAAATTATTATAAAGATTCTTCAGTGCCTTCAACAAAGGCAGAGCTTCTAACATACTTAAAAAGTTCTTAAAAATCCAGAGATTTAGAGATGTCTCTGCCTTAAAAATAGCCCATGGGGAACAGTACAGCAAAATCAAACATCAGGAAATGTTTTGTGTACATTTTGTATTGTGTCATAAAATGTCTTATGGTAATTTTTATCATATTTTTTTATAAAATTTTCCAATTTCATGGCTCCTGGATTTTGAGTGCATTCTGTAAATTAGCCTATTTGAGGTAACTTGGTTGAAAAAGTTTTGTCTTCTGATGCACAGCCCAGTTAGTTACATACATGAGTTTAGTACTGAATATAGATAGGATATCAATTTTTATTCTTCTATGAACTATTCAAAGTCTGATTGCTTAATGGGGATTACTGTCTGATAAGTAGATTTAATATTATGACCAAACAAAAACATGTCAGTAAAGCTCCTGGTTAACAATTTACTGGTTGCTTGAATTTGCCCACAAATCAGAGCACTTCCCAACTTAAAAAACAGATTTGGCAGCAGAATAAGAATACTAGGATTTTCTAACAAGAGCTGGATGTTCTATTTTCATCCTATATTCTTCCCTGGGTTTTTTTCCCCCCACTAGGTTATAAAAAGTTCTCCCCCTGGCTTTAAATTAAACTGTATTCATTCTTTTTTAAAGAAAATAAAACCATTATTGTAATTCCAGAATATAGAGTCTCAGCCCTGTCCTATATGATTGTGCAGCAATGGTAAAGAATTAAAAGATTAAATTGGCTAAACAGACTGCTTGAAGGATTCTAAACTGAAATGTGTCATATTGTTAAAGCTGAAGCAAAAAAAATATATCCTAAAATGTAAAAAGCAAAAGAATGTAAGTGACTGTATGCCAATATGTGAAAATTGCTGATGAAAGTAGAAAGTAAAAGTAAAAAAAGAGAGACAGAAATTCTCAAGTAAATATTGAGTTTTAGAGAAGAGCTAGGAGAAAGAAAGAGATGAAATAGTGTAAATAAACTGAGGAGAACAATTGGATGAGGAGAAAAACAAGAGACATCTAAGAGAAAATCAAGGAACATTCATACAAAGATGGCAACAATGGAGCAACTTAATACAGTAGTTAAAAGTTGGGGAAAGAAATATTTGAAGGTTCTTGGGTTAGGTTAGGTTAGATTACATTGTATAAATAATAAGAAATGTTGGAGTAGGAGAAACTGAAATTCAACCTTAACAACCTCAAATATGCTGATAATCATTTTGGAAATGAAGAAGAAAGACTGTTTGGACACATAAAGCAGGAGTCATTGGATGGTCCCCAAAGCTTGGAAAAACTGAAGTAGATAAAAAAAGAGGCTGAGAGTAGACGGGTTGGATAGCAAAACAGATGACACAAGTATAAACTTAACTGATTATTTGCTATGAAGTCACTGTCAACTCTTAAATACTAAGAGAGAATGAACTATCCCCAGCCTCACCCTTTGGATCTTCCAAAAGTGCATCCACCATCATTGCGTCCCAACTTCAGAGGGAGAAAGCATAAGCTGACAAAAATAAAAAAAAATCAAACTGATCCATTGGATCAAGAAGAATTGGTAGTAACCAAACAATTGTCTTGCTAGAAAACTTTTTTTTACATAAAAGGAGATAGAATTTCTAGGCTACTTAAGAATTTTAGCATCTCAACAATGGATCAAGACGTTCCTGATGGCACCTAAATATTATTAGGTCCAGCAGCTCCAGCTCATCTAGTGACTAAGGCGTATTATAACTTACTCATATCACAATTTTCTTCAGCTGGATTTTTTTTTTTTGCCAGCAAAAGCAAAATTCTGTCCATATTCTGTCTGTAAGGGGTGTGCGTAAGAGCACCAGCGTGCCTACCATCCCTGTCCTAATGTTTCTTCTATTTGTACCTATTTTATGTATCCAATCCATGCTTATACTTATTACCAAATACGTTCTTGACAAATAAAAATAAATAAATAAATAAATAAAATATATTTGATCAACATTTAAATCAAACATGAAGGAAAAATAGTACAGGCATATTGTATACTGCATGAGTCAAAAAGAGGGCTGTGAAAATATTTACAGACCCCTCGCATCCTGGACATAAATTGTTTCAACTCCTACCCTCAAAATGACGCTATAGAGCATTGCACATCAAAACAACTAGACTCAAGAACATTTTTTTCCTGAACGCCATCACTTTGCTAAATAAATAATTCCCTCAACACTGTCAAACTATTTACTAAGTCTGCACTATTATTTTCTCATCCTTCCTATTACCCATCTTCTTCTACTAATGACTGCATGACTGTAACTTTGTTGCTTGTATCCTTACAATTTATATTGATATTGTTTCCTAATATGATTTGATTGCTTATTTGTGCCCTAGGACTATCATGAAGTGTTGTACCTTATGATTCTTGACGAACGTATCTTTTCTTTTATGTACACTGAGTGCATATGCACCAAAGACAAATTCCTTGTGTGCCCAATCACACTTGGCCAATGAAAAATTCTGTACTGTTCTGTTCTGTTCTGTTCTGTTCACAACACATATCATTTTTATATACACATAAAAGCTGACAACTCGGCCACACTCTCTCCAAGCCATTCTGCAACAGAGCAGCAGACCCTCCGGTAGCTAACATCCAATGGAAACGACCATCAAAAGCCAAGATGCAACTCAACAACGCCCCTCCATGCGGCAGTGTTCCCCACTTCCCTCCCTCCCTCCCTCCCCCTTCCCCCCCCACCCCCCCCCCCCCCCGCAACGCCCCGCGCGCGCAGAACAGCAGCTGCTACCATGGAGACGTCGGCCACACAGTTCTCGCGAGACGAACGCCCTCGACCCGACTGGGCGAGAGGAGGGGCGGTGGGTGGGCGAGATCTCGCGAGAGCGTCGTGTCCACGGGCCTGCTTGATTGCCGCTTGCCGCTTGCCGCCTGCCGCCTGCCGCCGCCGCTGCTTCCGGCTGGAAGGGGACGACGCAGAGTGCAGAGTCAGCTGGGCAGCAGGAGGCGGAGGCGCGCGCGCGGGGAGCAGGTGGGTGCTTCTCCAGGGCCCCAACGCTCGCTTTGCGGGGGCGGCGGCGGCGGCGGCGGCGGCGACCGAAGCGGCGGCGGTTTGCGCAGAAAGAAAGCGGGGGCTGGCTGGGGAAGAGGGTGTGGGGGGGGGAGGTGGGGGAGGGAGGCGAGGTGTAGAAGGAAGAAATACCGCCGCTAAAAGGAGAAGGCAAGCTCGGTGGCGGCGGCGGCGGCGGCAGCGGGGCGGTGGTGGGGTGGTTGTTGAAGAAGGCCGGTCGGCGTGGGGCTCCGGCGGAAAAACTCATTCGGAAATCCAAAGGGCGATGGGGAGAGGCTGGGCCAGTGGCTTGCACGAAGGCGGGGTGGCTGCGCCGAGGCTTCCCTCCCTCCCTGGCGTTTACCGTGTGTGGGAGGCCGTGTGCGTATTATTGGGGAGCGGGGAGGGGGGTCGTTCCTTTGGAAGCCGAAACAATAACAGGGAGGGAGGGAGGGAGGGCGTCCAAACGGCTCCAGCCCGCAGCGCCGGGGCCACGGGAGCGCGCGTGCGCTGCAATTGCTGGATGGGGGTGGGGGGGGGGGGGGGGGGGGGGGGGGGGCCGCAGGCTCGGTGGCAACGGAGACGGCGCCGCCGCCGCCGCCGAGCGACTCCCAGCCACGGTGCGGGTTTCCGGGAGGAGCAAAAGGGCTGCGTGGTTCTGCAACACGCGGGTGGGTGGGTGGATGGCACCCCTCCACCCACTCCCCTTTCGGTGGGTGCCGCCGCTCAGACGAGGCTTGTCGTAAGCTGGAAAGGAAAAGAGAGTCCGGGTGGGGAGCCCGGACTGTTTTAAGAAGGTTGGGGAAGGGAAGGGGAGAGAGAGAAAAAGAAAAAGAGAAACGTTCAGCCTCCTGACTGCTAAGGCCCGGGCGTAATTTTTAAGGTAAGGAGGAAAAAGAAGAAGAAAAAAAAAAAGGCTGTAATAATCCCTCGTGGCAAAATCCCACCCGCGTCGAGCCGAAGAGCGTGGAAGAGGTGAGGGTCTTGAAAGAAAAGCGGGGGGGGGAGGGGGGGCTGGTGCCTGCAGTCTATAAACCGGAGCGGGGATTCTGGGATGTGTGTGGAGAGGCCTCTGGGCTCCCGAAGCTGCCAAGTTAAATCAAGGGGAGAGGAGTGGCCCTTTTCTTGCGGAGTTTGGGCCTCAGGGGAGCTGAGCCTATTGGACTCCCTTGTTTCTCAGCGCCCATATTTTTGCAGGGTGGGATGCGGGGGGGGGGGGGGGAATGGGATAAGGAATCTGCCAAGGCCTAAGCATTGGCCCTATGAAGTGTGCTTGGCATGCATTGTGTGGCAGGCAGTGCCTGGCACATGTGTCCCCATGCTTCTGGGTTGCTTTTCACCAATGTGACTCGGGAGAAAGGGTTCCTCACAGGACTGAACTGTCCCTGTATTGACAAGCCTATCCTGCCCCCCCCCCAAGCGCCATCTATGGATTTGTATGTGCTGTAATTGTTGTTATATTGGTCTTATGTATATGTTCCTTTCTCAGTCTGTAAAGATTCTCAGTCATTCAGGTCATGGTTGTCCCAAAGCACCTTTGGGACTGGACTTCCTTGTTTTTTTTTTTGTTTTTTTTTTTGGAAGACGTTTCGCTTCTCATCCAAGAAGCTTCAACCTACCATCCAGTCAGAACTGAAGAAGCTTTTTGGATGAGAAGCGAAACATCTTCAAAGAAAAAACAAGAAAGTCCAGTTGTCTCCTAAAAAAGCAACTATCCTCAAAAATAACTTTTTAGTGGGACTAGGGCAGTGATGGCGAACCTATGGCACACGTGCTGGAAGTGGCACACGGAGCCATCTCTCCGGGCACGCCAGCTGTCACCCGTTGCTCTTCTGGGGTCCAGTGCGCACATGCGTGCCGGGCAGCTGGTCCTCGTGCATGCGTGCCAGAAATCAGAAGACCAGGACGGAACTGGTCTTGCAGTTCTCGGTGCTTCTGTGCACACGTTCCCATTTCAGCACTCGGTGCTGAAAAGGTTCCCCAACACTGGACATGGGGATAAGAATAATATGACATGAAAAATAAACAGTTATCTCAAGTGTAAAGGCCCTGACCTCTTCCAAATTGGATTGCATCTGTGTGAAAACATCACATAATCTGAAGCTTAAATACATTTTTTATCTTCTCTCTATCTCTGTCTACTAAGGCCTACTGGCTTTGGCCTTGTATTCCTATATTCCTTTTATTCCTTAAATATTTGGGCCTGGGTGTGCTGTATTAAACTCATGTAACCCACTACTGTGTTTGACCTTATCCAGAGTTGATACTTGGTGAAGAAATTATGTATAATGAGGATTGATTTTATTTTGTTTAACTTGCTTTTAGAAGTTAATGTGGACTTGATAACTTAGGCAGTGAACTGTGTATATCCGAGAGCTTTAAAAGAAATGAATGTTGTTAAGCCTCAGTGGTGAAATGCTCAAATGGGATTAATATTCCATGATTATTGAAGGGAAGGCAGAGAAATTATGGAGCTACTGTAATGAGTTGCTATTTCCATTTTTTTTTTTTTACCAAGAATGGCCTCCAATTGACCAACTAAGAAAAAAAATGCCAAACCATATAGAATTGATATATTTCTCTTTCAAGCAACTCCAATGCTGTAAATGTAGACAATATTGTGGGGAAATGCATGGAAGGTAAATAGGCTTTGTTAAATTTTATTTGCAGAAGGTTTCAGAAAAGCAAGCTTTCAGTTCATGTCATACTTTTTTTCTTTTGCTTGAAGTTAACAGGTAGCCTTGGGATTTTTTTTATTTATTTTTTTGCAGCCTCCCAAAGTTTTGGACATGATCCCCAGAGCTGCTTGAAAAGTTATCAATTTGTAATCTTTACTGTCATTGAGTGAAATGATTAAAACAATACAAGCAATATATTAATTATATCGTAATTCCACTTAAATTTAAACAATGTCAAAGCATTGTTTTTGTCCTGTACCTATTTCTTTGTCTTGGCTCAGAGCACTTTTTGGAGTTTAGCCTCCGGGTGCTACTCACTTAAAATAAGCCCTCAGCTTGAAAACGATTGTACACCCTTATACAAGAGATTTTTGGATGGCAACTTGAGTTCCCATGTTAAATATGTGTGTGAGTGAGTTAAAAGAGATGCTGCACCACAAAGAGAACTTCCCTATATGTCTTTGTATTGTCAATCACTGAGAGTGTTGTTTTGATTTCAAGGAGTGCCTATTGAATTTGAGTTAAAGAGTTTGGTGCTTAAGTGTCTGAATGTATTTGGTCTTCAGAAATGTTTTAGAACCAGGAAACCTCATAGAAGACCTATAAGAAGGTGCATAATTTATCTGCTACTCTAGCCTACCTTCTTGTAGGTCTGCTAATACAAAGCTAGATGCTCACTATTGTTAATTTTAACCAATTTGTCAAGCTTAGGGATTGATGGGAAGTTTTATAGTATTTGAAGAGCCACATGTGCTCCTGTCCTCTGTGCTAGCCTATAAATCCTTAATTCTCTAGTCTCAAGATCTGTTCCTGTGGTTCTGTTGATCAACCCAAGACATTTTAGAGGGAGTTATTGCTTCTCCATCTAATAGCATTTTCCACGTTTGTAGGACTTTGACACCAGCTGGACAGAAGAAGCCTAGTCCTGCACCGTTGGACTTGCTGCCATGGGGAACATATTTGGCAACTTGCTGAAGAGCCTGATTGGCAAAAAAGAGATGCGAATCCTTATGGTGGGTCTTGATGCTGCTGGGAAAACCACCATCCTCTACAAGTTGAAACTGGGAGAGATTGTCACCACTATCCCTACTATTGGTATGGCCTCCTTGTTTTTGGAAAGAACTTTCCTTTCATTTCGAAAGTGGAATTGTGAGCATGAGAATGGTTGCAGAATGAATCTGGACTGTCATTTCAGGGCAGTAGCATAAGAAAATATCTTATTTCCCATGGGACCTTTCCTATGTACCTTCCAGGGATTTTGTGTCAATTTCTGGGAAAGATTGGCATGTTGTAGGCATGTAATCCAATAAATTTAAACAAGCTTTCTCTGTCCTGTTGATTGGAATTATGGGAGTTGAAATCCAATACATCTGGAGGGCACCAGGTCAGGTTAAGGCTGACTTAAAGTCATTTCCTTGTCATCTGTCATCTGAACTATTCTTTTTTTTCTCTCCCTGATGTGGCACACATTAGACTTAATGAGGGTGACTCACAGTACTGGCAGCAGCTAGATGAAAAATGAAACACACACACAGGCAAAACCTGCCTGTGATGCCATTGGCTTGCCTATACTTGATTTATTATTGGTATTTTACGAGGGCTACTAGGGCAAGGTCTGCCTAATAGTGAATATTTGGCTTCTAATCACAAAGTCATTCTGAAAATGCCTTTGTGCAGTAAGAATGTCAGCCAGATCTTTCTGAAATGATCCAGAGATCTATCTGATCTGAATATCTTAAGGGATTACCTACATCTTTTTAGAAAACACAAAGAGCATGCAACCCCCATAATGAAACAACCTTCCATGCAACTGCTGTTCAAAGATACTCTGTTTTGCTGCTTAGAGGCTCCATTTTACCCATCATAGCCAATTGCTATCAAAATGCCATTGTTGTCTTTGAGTACAACAGAACTCTATTGTCCCCTTTTAAGGATGAAAATGAGCTAACATGTTTGCAAAGAGAAGTTTGGAAACAGCATTGTCATAAACTAAAGGGTCTCCGAAGGTGTTTGGAGTGCAATTGGCTGTACAATGTTGCTGCGCAGACTCCATTCATTAGACGTGCTTATGTTGGACCCCTGTGAACAGATTGCATAGCAATGGTGCTTCATGGATTGCATCTTTTGATTTTTATCCAAGTATGTGGGAAAAGATGACTCACTTGTGAGATTACTGAGAGCTAGTAATACTATGGGGCTTCTGGTTGCTAGAAAACTGCTGTTTTTCCACAGCTGGGATTCTGATTGGGGATGTGTGCTTTTAAGATCTCTCACTGTAACATGTTTATCAGTAAGTACTTCTTGTTGATGAATGCTAAAGCTTAAGGTCCTCTTTTGAATTCTAAATGTAAGTAGGAGAATTATCTCCTTTCATTTTTACATAGAGATGGCATTAGATGGAAAAACAGGTCCGCCAACTTAATCCTGGTGCAGTACATCCATCTGCACTTTTATAAATACAGGCAAAGTCCTGTTAATACTAGGGATGCTACTTCTGAATATGAAGACTAGTTGTGACCTCTGTAATGCCTGATTCTCAGTCCTGCTCTTGGCTGTCCCTTCATGCTCCGTGTCGATTGCCAGAGTGAGCTACATTTCTGCTGTGCAGCCCAAATTCTGACCGTGTTATTCTTCCTCAGGGTTCAACGTTGAGACGGTTGAATACAAGAACATCAGCTTCACTGTATGGGATGTTGGTGGCCAGGACAAGATACGGCCCCTCTGGCGACACTACTTTCAGAATACTCAAGGTGTGAGAAGGGAAAAGGAAGGGGAAAATCTTTTCTTTATTGGGACTAACAAAGTGGTGCTTTCCCTTTCTCCCTGCTCTTCACACTAGCAGGTATTTAAGGCTCCTTTGCTTCTTAATTAGAAATCCACTTGAAGTTGCTGCTGTTTTCAGAGGTAAACTCTCGTGCGGTACTTAAAAATGTTTACCCACCAGATAATAATAATGCTTTCCAAGGCATCCCTATTCCAGGTATCTTTTAGCTGACATGGATTTATTGGGTGATGGATTGTTTTATTATATGGCTTCATTGTACTGGTACTGTTTATATTTTGAAAAATTCTTGAATCCATACAGAGGCAATACACATAATAGGTCCAAACACAGTCACAAGTCGACTATTAGTTTGCTTCTCTTTGCACTTTCGTGATTTTTAAAAACCTTTCAATTGATCGGTCTGTTTTGTAAGCCAGTTTACAGAGAATGTTTTATTAGGAAGAGCTGTCCAAACAATCTTAATTGCAGGGCCAATTGGAAGCCTTTGACACATTCTTCACAAGAGAGGCAATGATTAAGCAGTAGCTGTCTCTCAGTTTCAAAATGAAGCAGTGATTTCTAAGCAGCCAAGATGCTCAGCAAGTTTATGTGTCTGATAACACTGCTGTTTGTTTCTTTGTTTCTTTTTTTCCCATGAGATAATTATCTTGGAATCTGCTGAGATTTAAATTTATGTAGTGGTCATAAGTTATACAATGGTATGCATAGATTAAGAATTATGAAGTCCTTGCTAACCTTAAGAACAATGTGGTGGTGAAATAAGCTTTGCAACTCAAAAAAAAACCATTCCTTTAACTTTCAAGGCTTTAAATAGCTGCTCACTTCAGGCAAATTAGGAATTGCATCTAATTGACCAAATGCCTTTTTGCATTTTTTCAGACTTTCTGTTCTGTCCACAAATTACTTATTCAGGCATGTGTGAGCAAGCTAGATACATAGGGAAAAAACTAGTTGCTTTTTTTGCCTGTCTTGCAAAACTGGTGTAGAATAACCTGCTTCGTAGTGGCTCTAATCGGAGTTACTCAGTATGATCCAGTGGAACATTTCTAGCCTGCAGAATTAGGGTTTTATGATAATCTGATACAGTTTGAAATCCATGGACTATAAAAGAACCCTTGATTTCTTGAATTTGACAGCCTAACATGGGCTTCTTGATTAAGGTATGAGATTAATTGGCTGATTTCAACACCTTGATTGGACTTCTATCTTTGCATTTCTTTTTGGGGATTGATTTATAAGGCAATGTCCTTACTCACATAAGGGAAGAGTTAAAAAGCTGGTATTTTCATTTAGTGCATAATTCTGCCAGTCAAGTGTGAAAACTAGGCCAATTCATGTATTTAGGACAAGGGAAAAGTAAAAATGTCTTGTGGTTGTCAGCCCAAAATTAATCTACTAGTAAATTTATTAAGACTGCTCTTTTGGAAATGTGACTTGAAGTCCAGTGGATTTTTTCTTCTTCCTAGCTTTCTTGTTCAGTAAATAACCTGTATGCTTCCAAGGAAAAGACTTTTCTTCCTCCTCCCATTAAAGAATTCAAAGTGGAGGCTATTTCATATCCTTGTTTTTCTCTTTCTAAGTTTCCGGCACTTTTGAGTGACTGATCTTCCCATTGTAATAATCAGAACTTCTGATATGTTAATTGTGTACTTTTGAAGGAGTCATAATTCCACGTTCCATGTATTCATACTTTGCTTTACAAAATACCCAATTTTTTAAAATCATATATTTCTTCTGTACTCTTAAATAAACAGACATACTCTCTTTCAGGCCTGATTTTTGTAGTGGACAGCAATGATCGAGAACGAGTAAATGAGGCACGTGAGGAACTGATGAGAATGCTGGCAGAGGATGAGCTGCGAGATGCCGTTCTCCTTGTCTTTGCTAACAAGCAGGTGAGTCTGGAATGGGCCGACTGCTTTGACGATTAGGCTAGTTGGTTCCGGGGTAGAAATGTTTGGCAGGTCTCCATCTATGGAGAATAGTTGATATTTGCATCCAATCTAAATACATTCTGCCTACCAGTTTGCTGTGGATCAGAGATAATTTTAGTAATGAGATTTGAAAAGGGCATGTAGTATCTTTTTCTGTTGATGGATGAGCTTGGGATTCACAATGTGTTACCAACCTATGCGTTAATTCAGGAGAAAACCTGTTTGGGAAGGTGGTAGGTGTTTTGAGAATCGCACTCCTTCAGGAGAGAAGATTTAGGGTTCATTTGTGAGATACCGTATGTAAGGAGGGTAGAGCACCAAAGCTGTAATTACTTGTTCTCTATTCCATTCAATGCATACGTCTACACTTACTACTTTTGCTCTGTAGAGAGTCATGTAGAAGCCTTATGGGAAATACTCAGAAGGGATTAGAAAAATAAAAAGGGCAGAAAAATTCCTTGAGTCCTGGGAGAGGAGTAGTGTTGGGAAGAGGCTCAGGCTGGCCCAGGAGGGAAGGAAAAAAACAACCACATTGTTAATCTAATCTAGTGGTTCCCAACCTTTTTTTGGCCATGCCCCACCTAAGCATCTCTAAAATCATGATGCCCCCATCCCCCGTGACATATAATTCTTACTATTTGAATAGTAAGAATTGAGTGAACTCCTACTCATGCGGAGAAACCCTAAAAGGCCATTAACTTTTTTTTTTTTTTAATTTGATTTATATGCCGCCCTTCTCCGAAGACTCAGGGCGGCTTACAATGTGCTCAGCAATAGCCTTCATCCTTTTGTATATTTATACAAAGTCAGCTTATTGCCCCCACAAACTGGGTCCTCATTTCACCTACCTTAGAAAGGATGGAAGGCTGAGTCAACCTTGAGCCTTGGCGAGATTCGAACCCTGCAGTAATTGCAGGCAGCTGGTCTTAAGCAGCTTAATAACAGGGTGCCTTAAACCCTTGTACTACCAAGGCTCTTATTTAAGCAAGGTTCCAATTGCCCCCATTAAAAATCAAATTTCCCCCCTGTGGGGCGTGGGCCAGTGGTGGGTTGCCCCCGGTTCGGACCGGTTCTATAGAACCGGTAGGAAAACCGGCGGGAGGCTCCACCCACCGACCCTGACATCAGGAAGCTTCGCATGTGCAGAGGCGCGCGCAGCCCCGTTGCGAACCGGTAATAAAGGTAAGTAGAACCCACCACTGGCCCCACATTGGGAACCACATTGGGAACCACTGATCTAATCAATCTCAGTGGAGTCAATTTCCTGATCTAGGCAACCTTAAAAGGGCTGACATTCCTCCCCATTCCTCCTTGTTCTCTTCTTCACGTTCATACTTTTTCTCCATACATTATGAAGCAAGTCACTACAGGTGGTCCTCAGCATAAGACCACAATTGAGCCCAAAATATCTGTTGCTAAGTGTGACATTTATTAAGAGAATTTTGCCCCTTTTTATGACCTTTCTTGCCACAGTAAACCATTGCAGTTGTTAAGTTAATAACACTGTTGTTAAGTGAATCTGGCTTCCCCATTGACTTTGCTTGTCAGAAGGTCACAAAAGGTGATTACGTGACCCCCGGACACTGCAACCTTCATAAATATGAATCGCCTGCCAACTGTCTGAATTTTGATCACGTGACTATGGGGATGCTGCAATGGTTTTAAGTGTGAAAAACAGTCATAAGTCTGTTGTAACTTCGAATGGTCACTGAACAAACTGGTAAATTGAAGATTACCTATATTAGATGTCCTAGCTGTGAAGCACCTTAACCATTCATTATAAATGAAGTACCGTATCGCCACAGCATCTCTTCCCCAAGAAGAAAATAGGTGGACCTTAAATGATACCTTACTTAAGAAGCTTGGCAAAGAAAGGTTGTTTGTTTCCTATAATCTGGTGCAGTGTCCACTCATAAATTCCCAGATAAAACCCTTGCATATCTACAATCTCGAAGTTGAACTCTTCAACTTGAAAATGCTTTTGCTTAATAACACACACAATAAAGTTTCTGTACAAGGTGCGGTTAATTAAGAAACGCTCATATTAGTCTATTTAACATTGGCACATGTTCTTCTTGGTAAGGTACATTGTTCCGTGTGGGCTTCCCTGTATTATGAGTGTTGAAAAGCAAGCCCAACTCTTTCTTTGTGTTTCCTACATTGCATAGAGCCTCTTCCCAGGTAACTTTCAGGGCGACAGGAAGTAAGGCATGCCCTGTTCTAAGTCACTGCTTTTAGTGAGTCGTCTTGATAAATTACTGACCCATTTGGCTATTAACAGACAAGAATTATCAAGAATCCTCTTTTGACCAGGGCCGTTTCAATTCCCGCCTTCAAAAACTGTTCTTTTGTATATGTATTGTTTTAGATTGTAAAGCTTTTCCCTTACTACATTGTGTAGCTGACCAGCATGCAGGTGTGCTTATAGTTTACACATCAAGTGATGTGGGAGATTGGTGCAAATAATTCTGCAAAGAGTTGATAATAATTGTGCCAAACGTATGCAGATGTGTTTTGCTTCTTCCATCAGTTGCTATTTCTATTAAGAGAAGTTGCTGCTACCTTGCTTTGGTGCACTCCTCTGTGTTATTCTTAAAAACGAATGGTCACGACACTATTTATTAATTCAATTTGTATGCCGCCCCTCTCCGAAGACTCAGGGCAGCTCACAATGCATTTAAAATCATTATAAAAACATTTAAGAATTAAAAACATTAAAACTCATTCACACCATTCATGGCTGGATCTCACCGGATCGCAAGAGCGAGATCAACAGCCCCAGGCCTGCCAGAAAAGCCAGGTCTTCACCGCTTTTCAGAAGGCCAATAGGGTGGGGATGGTCCGGACCTCAGGAGGTAACTGGTTCCAGAAAGCTGGAGCAGCCACAGAGAAGGCCCTCCCCCGCGGGCCCGCCAGCCGGCATTGTTTAGCTGATGGGACCCGGAGGAGACCAACTCTGTGGGATCTTACCGGTCATTGGGAGTTATGCGGTAGAAGGCGGTCTCGAAGACACTACTGTGCAAGTGAGGACAACTGAAAACTGAGGGAAAGTAAATCTCATTTATTGGCAGCTGTGTGCTATAGAAATGCCCCAAGGCCAGCAACTCTGGGATTGAGAGTTAAATTCGGTTTCTGAAGGGGAGTCTAGGATCTGTTCAACACTGTTTATGATCCCCTTCCATTGGAAAAATATGCTTCAGAGTGGATGCTGTAACTTTGCTATTCCTTGGAAATTAAAAACAGATACTAAAGATTTAGATTCAGGCTCTGATGCCCTGTCATTAGCAAAAGCAGTATAAATTATGCAAAATAGTATTGTTTGAACTACGTCTGCACTATTCCCCAGCTTGCCCATATGAGTAGAATAAAAAGGAGCATGTTGATACGAGTCAACATTGTACTTTTAATCCTATCACCAAAAGTTTTTTTTTTAAATGAAATGGGGTGGGGATTTGCCCAGATGCCTCTTCCCTCTCTTCCCCTGTCATTGTCGTCTTCATCTGTCACTTAGACAGAAAGTTGACACATGATTACTGTGTACAGAAACAATTTGTGTAGCTTCTATTCTGTGACAACACCAAATACCTTTCATGGAGTGCTTGTTTGGGAGTAAATCCTTGGGGTAAAGCGACTGGATGAATGTGGTAGGAAGGCTAGAGCTTGAACAAGGAATTCATAAAAAGATTTTAAATGTCATCTGCTCACATCACTGAGTAGTACAACACATTAAGTAAGTGCAAACTTCCTCCATCCTAGCAATTGGATTTTTTAAATTAAATCCTTCCTAACTTGCAGAGGGAGGGGATTGTTTGTGCAATTCTATAATGTGTGTAGGGCAGAAGGCAATTCCAAGAGCTTTCTTCTGAAAGCTATTTTAAGGTTGATATCTCTGCTTCAATGAGCTTTGTGCCTCAAAATTACATGCTTCGGTTTATGGGATTTGGTTACTCAATAGAGACATGGAGGCGATGAATGAACTCCCCAATCTACAGAACCAGGTGACAGAACAACAAAGCTAAGAACGAAATGGGAAAGAGAAACTTCTTATAAGGAGCAGTTGGAGAAGCTCTGCAGGCCAAAAGTGGTTTCCTTCAGCAGATTCCTACCAGCTCCCTGCATAGGACTGGTTCAGCCCACCCCCATTCCAGACAGAAGGAGGGTGTATTCAAAAGGCATAGGCTCCTAACCAAATCCAGAGGTTACTTTCTGAGCACCCTTTTTGTTCTAGGGTCTTCATTTTGAAAGTGTTGGGGCACTGTTGGTCATATTTAGTTTCTCATCTCTTTCATTTCTGCCTCCTTCCCCAGGACCTTCCCAACGCCATGAATGCGGCAGAAATCACGGACAAGCTGGGCCTGCATTCACTGCGCCATCGTAACTGGTACATCCAGGCCACCTGCGCCACCAGCGGAGATGGCCTCTACGAGGGCTTAGATTGGCTGGCCAACCAGCTGAAGAACAAGAAATGAGTGCAGGAGGGAGGGTGGTGGGCTAAGCCCCTCACTGTTGGTTCTACTTTTGGGTTGATCCCCTCCCTCCTGTCCTCCCCTGTCACACCCTTTCTTCCCTGTTGGGTTTGCTTTTCTTGCCGGCACCGGTTGCTGTTGGGAGGGGAGGGGGGTGGTTGGGGCTAACTTTTGATTTTTCTCTCTCTCTCTCTTTTTCTCATGTTCTGGTTCTGCCAGGATTTTTTGCACGGTCTCTGTGTGTGCGCGTGCGTGTGTGATAAATATATATATAGAGATAATAAAATATATGGGTGTGGTGGGAGGGTTGGGACAAGTGGGAGTTGGATGCCAATTCTGTGGCCTTTCTTTCTTTCTTTTCTTTCTTTTCTCTCTTTCTTTTTCTTCTTTTCCTCTCCCCTATTGTTTAGTTGGATCAATTTTTGTATTTTTGGTGGTCTGTGAAATTTGGCTCTCTTTGTTCGGAGGTGACCAATATTCCTCAGTGGCAGCTGCTTCTTGCTTTTGTGTGCTGTTGGTGCAGGTTGGTGGAAAATTTCTGTGTCACGAGGCCAGGAATAAGGGAAATGGTGTGTAGCCTCCACATGTGCAAGGGCCGAGGGAGACAATGAAGGAAGAATTGGGGGGTGGGGGGGAGGAGTAGAAGGATTTTAGATTCCCCAGACTAGAGTATGTATTCTTGCTGTCCTTTCTGTATTAGCTGGTTCCCCCTGTTGGTATTAATGAGATTGCAATCATATTGAACGTCCTGCTCTATTTCTTGCTACCCATTTTATCATTCTGTTCACAATTTTATTAGCGGCTCATGCAGTTAGCTCTGTTATGCTGCTGATGAACGGGATCATTTGCATTCCAACCTCTTAGACCAAATGGCACTAGAGCCCTGAATAATGTATCCTAAGCCATGCAAAAAAAATTTTTTTTTTCCTCTTCTCGACCCCTCCCTAAAAGGGGATCAGCATTGATGGGCTGCTGCAGGAGATTTTGGGACCAGTGGCTATCAAAAGCTACCTGAGCAGATGTTAATGCCACCCTTGGCTACCTGGCCTGGACTTTCCATCCAAGGGATGTATATGCACGCCTGCAGGGGCATCCCAGCTGCTAAATGTTTCCACCAACCAACTTGCTATTTCTCTTCCCCTTGGAACTCACAGAGGAGGGGGCTCTCTCATGGCTGCCCTGTTGCATGATATGACCCCAGTAGAGAACCCTCCCTTCCTCCCTCTGCCGCCCTTGGATTTGTACTCTGGCCCATAAAGGTTTCTTTTTCCCATGCTGGGGGAAGTGGCAGAGTCGGGTTTTTCCCCTCCCTTGTTAATTTTGGGGAGTAATGATTGTATTAGGGTCAAGCCCAGGTCGCTGCATGTAACGTTCGGGTCACTCCCTGCCTCTGGACAGTGTTGGTACTGTGTATTCCCCTCCCCACTTCTGACAAATGTGTATTTATTCCTCTTTTGCTCTCTCCTTGCCACTTCCCCCTCAAAACTTTAGCCGCCTTTGCTTGGTGTAAAGTGGTTTTCCTTTCCCCTTAGTTCTGATTTCTTCATACTTTGGGCCATGGCTCCCTGTTTGTGTTTTTCTCGCCCCCCCCCCTTCTTTGAACAGTTGGATGCACCACGACCTCTGTGCACTCCCATTGGATATTAAACTCGTTTTATGTAGCTACTGTCTCCTATCTGCTCTTTTCCATTGGTTGGTACAGGGGAGGGTGGATGAGCGTGACACCGTTCATAACTCAAAATGGTTGTTTCCTTTCTATTTCCGTCATTGGGACACACAGCTCAGAGTCTTAAGGCAAATCAAGCATTCAGTAGGAAATACAAGTTCTCTGAATTGAGATCTGTGCATCTCCTGTCTTTTCTCAGCCTGAATTGAGAGTTGAAAAATCTGTTTTTTAAGAATTGTCTGGGAACGTGCCATGAATCAAAGTGCTTGGGTGGGTTAAGGGGTTCCATGTAGAGGATTCTGGGCTTCTATACATGACCAAAACGCAGTGATCTTTGCTTACTTCTGCGTCTTCCATTGACAACTCCATATTAACTGGTGACTTTCATTTTGAATCTTCATTTCTCTTCCCCTTCTTCCTCCCCTCCCATTTCCTGCCCCCTCTTTAGCATCAAGGTCCTTTTGGCCAGGGTTGGGTTGCTCAGGAGCGGTGATGGACATGCAGGCACTATTTTAATTAGAAACAGCTTAACAGAGAGCTGCATTTCTCTATGAGATGGGGGTGTCTTTAATCCAAAGTGGCATTTAGCCCCTTCTCTTCCTGTATTGAAGAGAGATATTGGATGAGTTGCTAAATCCCATTAGTTACTAATCCAAGAAGGCAGCTTGTCCATGCCGAGGACATCAGATTGGGCTCTCTGTTCCGCTCATTGCTCCAAAATGAGGATGCATCAGGCCCTAAAATTGCTTCCCATACCCAAACCTGCTTGTCTACATAAGAACCTTGTTTCCTTGTTTGGTGCCTGTGAGAGAAGCTGATTGAGGAGGCCTGAAAGGGAGGTAACAACTGTGTGGTTAATCTGTAGAGACAGAAAGGCTTTGTTTCTTGGTTTCCTTGTGTCCTGTCTTCCACTGTCAATTGTCAAATAATCATGAGACACTGGAATACCGAGGTCCCTGAATTCTGGGACCAGCTTTCACTCTTAGAATTTCCTAGAAAATTCTTTTTCCCAGGAGGGCTGTCTGCCCAATTAAAACTGGCATTGAGATTCTACAACCCATGAAAAGACCTTTTTTAAAAAAAAAAAAAAAAATCTATTTGAAATCAGAAAGGCCTCAGATTGTCCTTGAATTCACTTTGCATAGCATGAAATTCTAGGAGGTGTTAAATTGTGTGCATTTGACTTGTGTGGCACGATAGTGGAATCTATGAACTAAATACTTGAATATATCCAATATATATCCTTCAGCCTGCCCATTACAGGAAAAAATTGTGTGTGTATGTTTGTATATTATCTTAAGGAAGCTTAGTTATTTTTAGGGACCTTGTCCTAAATGGGACACTGGCTAAAATCATTTATCCATTCTGCCTTCTTTGTTGGCGCGGGAAAATCTCATCTGTTGACAGTAAATTGGGTTATGCCCAGGGAGTTCACATAAGTACCCTCAACGAATTGGAGGAGTCCTGAATTTGGCAATTCACACGGTGTCTCTTTTCAGCATGATTCTTGAATTATGTTTTTGGAGTTAAAAGTTTGCTGCCCCTTACTCAGGCTTTTGAGCTGCCCTGTTGCAACTGGAGAGATCATCCCATTAAACATTGTTTAAAATAATTGAATCTTGTCTCCTTATCACATGGAAGTAATTGAAATAGCCTGCTGAAAAGGCTGTGTTCCTCAAATAACAAAGAGCAGCATGACATTTAATTTGAATGCTTGTAGTTCATTTCGTGATTCCAAGACAGCGTGCAATATTTCTATACGCTGCATCCTTGAAAATGCTTTAAACCTCCAAGAACAATGGCTTGTTCTTTCATCGCAATAGAAATGTATTCCCAGTGGCAGAAAATTTAAGAAGGTGTGGCTGAGTTGGTTTCCAGCAGCCCATTCATCATATATTATGAGAGAGGGAGCCGTAATTCAGCGGCACCTGAGTGGTCATAGTTTCCCACTTTAAATTTAGTCATGAAGGCTCTTGTCTTCTTGACCATGGTGGCTCCATGTTGGATTAAAGATTTTTTTAAAAATCATACAAGCAAGGTCAGGGATGGTCCTGTAGCTATCCATGTTAAAAGAGCCCCCTCATCCACTGACAATAGGCCCACAGTCTTCCTTTTGTTATAGCAAATATGCCCTTTGTTTCTATCTAAATTGTTCCCAAGAATAAATCTTCCATACATTTGACTTGATGAATGAAAATATCCCAAATTGGTATCTCCTTTTGGCAAACCATAAATGGCAATTCCAGGCAAACATGAGCCAGAATTTAAAAGTGATATTGGAAGTATTTGGTGCTTTAAGTAAAGCAACAATTAGGAAAAGCTGGTTTGGAAACTTAGGAAATTAATTATATAAATATATGATATAATAGTGCTGGTTTGAAAAGCAATTATTAACTAGTGTTCTAGGAAATAATGAGTGGCCCTGAACATGCTTTTTTTTTTTTTACTCCTGGGCTTTTTAGTGACAACTCTGAATAACTGCATTTTGATAGTTGTTCCTCTGCAAAAATCCCTTTTATACACGTGAGCCTATGACTTAACCTCAGCAGGTGAAGAAAGATGGGGAGTAGCAGCCAGGGCTGGTCCTGCACACTCATTCATTTATTATGGTTTATGGTTTGGAAGGTGAAGGAATGTAAAAGAATTCCCATCAATATTATCATTTAGACTGTTCTGGTAGTCTTGCATATTGTAATTTAATGTGCAATTAATTAGGTTCCATTTGTCTGTTTACATAGCATCAAAAGAAGGAAAAAAACTGTTTAATGTATGGGTGATTTAATAACTTTTAAGGAAAGAATATGCACACAACTATTGTTTAGAATGAGTTGTCAGATTATACTATTAGATATTCAAAAGAAATATCCATTACGTCTATGTCAGTAGGGATAAAATAATTCAACAGCAGTACTGTGCATACCATGGATATCTCTGGAACTTTTCAGAAAGAAATTAAGGGATTTGATTGAATGCCAGAGATAAGTTCAGAACACAATACAAGTTCATATAATGTGGTCTTGTGTTGTCATTGCTTCTATTGGCTGCAAGGTATGTTTTGTGTTGAAAAACCCAATTTTTTTGTGAACGCTCATATTCAAGTTATTATTGATAGTGCATAAAATAACAAGGAGAAAATATTATTGTTGCTAATACTATCACAAAATGTTTGATAAGACAAGGTCTGAAGGATTTCCATCCTTCTTTCCTTATTATACAGTAGTCTGGAAAACACTTCTCTTTTCATATTTGAACATACATTGCCTGGAATCTAAAATGGCAGACTATTCAGAGGTTTAGTCTGCGTATATTATGCATCTAATTGTCCATCACTGGCTTAAACCAGTCAATGCAGCGGAGGACATTTTCCTGTCATCGATATTGGAATAATGTTCAATTGCCAACTTCATATGTACAAGGGCTCTATCTTTTCTCCGCTCTTATGTTTACAGTCAAATTCTGTACAGTCAAGGACTCTACCCTGTGTTTCACCTCAGGCAACTGAAGTGTTTTGGGCTATATGTGTGGGTGTACATCAGGCACACACCAGTGAGTCACAGCCAAAGAGACCTTGATTGGCATCCAAACCAACTGCTGTGCTTTCAAGTAGGTGTCTCCATCCAGGCAGGCCTAAATTACTTTGAGTGTATGCTGCCTCCTTGTGGGAAAATCAGGGGGGGGGGGGGATAATTCCTGGATGATTTTGATTGCTAGGCACATGACATGGGAATGTATGACTTTCTCTGCTTTAGAAGGTGAAATAATACAGAGAAGAGGAGCTGTGTTACTCAGAGAGCACATGCTTTGTCTACGAAAACTTTGGTCCACCAGACTTTAATATTTTAAAGATTTTTCACTTTAAAAATTTAAGGGAGAAGTAGGATGTTGTAAAGCCCCAAACTTTATTTACAGAAATGTTATTTTAGCTGAGCTCAGGTCTTCCATGTTCGACATTATTCACAAGATGTGCTTTGAACCTCACACAAGATTAATACTCTTTCTGGTCATTTAAGACAGCTTGATTCCCCCCCACCCCCCACCCCAGTCTTTTGAACCTGGAGAATAAATTCTGCTTTTCCACTGCCTTCACTTATTTGGCTCCTTTTTGGGTCAGGTTTATGTAAAACTAGGGGTGAGGGGCAACAGTTGCTTTAGTGTATAGCAAAATGGTGCTGCATTCACCTGAGGTCTGAAGCATTTCTTTCAAACATCGAAGAAAGCCATTGTACAAAGAGTGTCTGCATTTCAGTTCTTTCTTTGGAAATGTGCCATCACCTGTCTTGGGATGAGAGCAGTGTAGAGAACCCAAATATAAAGAGAAATGTTGGAAAGTATCTCAAAAGAGAGAGCCAATTTGGTGTAATGGTTAAAGCACCAGGCTAGAAATTTAGGCACAAAGCCAGCTGGATGACCTTGGGCCAGTCCCCCCTCTCCCAGCCCTGGGAAGGAGGCAGGGGCAAACCACATCTGAACTCTTGCCAAGAAAACAGCAAGGACATGTGCAGGAAGTCGCCAGGAGTCGACACTGACACAAAGGCACACACAAAGTTTTCTCATCGGCTGCCATTTTGTGAATAGCAAACATGCCCAGTGAACCACAAAGTTTCTAAACAGCTGTTGCTACTCCAGGTAGTCCAGATGCATTCTTGGAAATGTTTTCTAAGTAAGTTTTTGAAATGTAAAAAGAATCTGGAACCCGGTGGCCACATTGTAAACCTTACAATATGAATTAGAACAGTGGTTTGGTTCAATGCACAACAATGTTATCACATTAAAAGCATAAATGGAGACCTAAGAATGATCCTATGCATGTGGGTGGAACAGATCTTTTCAAAGAAAGCTTGCTTATCTTACCAGTAAGGGAAGCACTGATCAATAAAAGAGAACCAGTTTGGTCTGGTGGTTAAGGCACCCAGCTAGAAAGCAAGAGACTGAATTCAAATCCCACCTTAGCTATGGAAGCCAGCTGGGTCTTGGCCCATCACTCACTCAGCCTAA